TTGAATCGTATCTAAGAACTTAGTCGGTTTTGGAATAATTTTAGGGTTATTTGCAAAATTTTCGTGAATTGCCTTGGGGCATTTTCGAGATCTGCAGTTTACAGCCCGCTGTTTGTAGAAGCATGCCGGTGCTCTGTTGTGTAGGAAGGACATGATATTGTCATAGATTTGCTCTGCAATTTTTGTTTTCCTTTTTTTTGGAGATTCTTCTAAGTGTAATGAACCCAAGTGCTGATGATACTTGTTGATAATGCAAGTCCACAAATCGTCAATCAGCTGATGAGATATCAATACTGAAATCGTTGCCAGATACAAAGAGATGGATAACATACACAGACGAATAAGCAAGAGGTTGAGAAAATAGACTTAGAGGGTGGAGAAGAATACTGTGCCCACTCCTACTTCGAGCTTCCCTCTCAATGTCGTCACCTCAGCAACAATAAATGGAACAATATCTGAAGTTCTCCTCAAAGTGCCACGTGGCACATCAATAGTCCATCATCAGCGTTGGAGCATCATCAACATCAAGATAACAGGTACGTATCTCTGATCCTTCCACAGTCGTGATCCCCTCCTGAGTACGATGAATCAGAACAGCTGTAYCTCTCCAATGTAGCCGCCACATCAGCATGAAATATACGTGGCAGCGGCCACGTCAGCAGCAACGTGTGCCAGCTGCCACGTCAGCATACCAAGTAGACAAGAGCAAGCCAGCCAGCATGTCTGGCAAACAGCGCGCCGCCGTAACTCACAAGTACCAGCCAGAAGCCACCGTCCAGCCAGCGTCTCAACATAGAGCCAGCGTCGTCGTCAAAGTAGAAAGTCAGCATTGACGCGACTGAATGAATGTCAAATGCCGGGGAGTCAGTCCTTCTGTACTGTTGACTCAGGGGCTGAGCCCCGGATGCTGCCTCCCTCGATCGTCCAAATCTCAGTACAGACGAGGGCTCAGCTTATACCGAAACCGAATCTTCTTTGGCTCGATGCTGTCTGGGTACCTGCACATCACAAGTGAGTGTATCTGGACAAGGGCCTGTGCATGGTACGTTTGACTCTACAGTGGACTTTGACCTTTGAATGTACATCTGCAGCGTTCGGTCTCACAGCCGAACGCAGCAGTCTGGGCCTGGGCAGTGTCTGGTCACACAGCCCAACGCAGAACAGTAAGTTCTGCGTGGCCTGGGGCGGGTCTGGGCCTCGTACAGACTCTCATGCACACGAATTACTGCATTCCTGCCGGCCCAATTTCGAGTTCCATCGCAGAAATGTTAAGACCTCAATCCTGTTTCGTATGCAGAGACTATGTCAGGAGCAGATTCAAGTAATTGCCTTTTTGTAAACCATCTATCTTTAGAAGGTGCTTGAGATTTAAATCTTACCTTGAATTGCTTCTGCGGACGTCCTTATCCTCCGGTGGAGAAATACCCATGCTCGGTAATTTTTTCTACCTCATATTCTCCATCCATGGAAGGGGGTATCATCGATGGTCTGTTTGGAAATTCATTTCCTTCCACATAAGGTAACAATTTGGAGGCATGGAAGACGAAATAGGTTCTAAGGTGAAGAGGGATATCTATTATGTATGACGGTCCCTCGTTATCTCCTATAACTTTGAGAATCTCCCAGGGTCTAAAATAGACAGGCAGCAGTTTCTGCGATATGTCTTCTTCTAATAAGAACTCCTTAGACCTGACCTTGACTAGATCTCCTACCTTAAATGATGAAGGTCGGCGATGTTTATTAGCTTGGGTTATCATTTGATCTTGAATTTTCTTCAAGTTCTCTTTCACCTTTTGTATGTCTTGCTGAAACATTACTGCATACTCACGAGTCCCTGGTGGTAATCTAAGAAACTGGTCCCGAGTTATAATATCAATGGGACGTCTGGGTTTCCATCCTTTGTGTCGTGCGTTAGGAGAACGACCAGTTGCGGTGTGAACACTACTATTATACGCACTGACTATCTTCGGCAGGTTCTCATCCCAATCAATTTGATCAGGCCTCACATACATGCGCAACAGTTGTTAGCACAGACGATTCATCTGCTCACTTTGGCCATTCGTCTCAGGATGTCGTCCTGACGACATAGTCAAGCGAGTACCGTATGTCTCCATCAACTTTTGTCATGGCATACTTGTGAATTTTGTATCTCTGTCAGACACAATAGATAGGGGAAACCTATACTCAGTTACCCATCGCATCTGAAACTTTTGCATCACAAGTTCAATTTTCGCTTCATTGGGTAAGGGAATGAACATAACGTATTTAGAGAAACGATCTACAATCACCATCATCTGGCTATTGCCATTGGGACTCTTTATGAGGCTCATAAAATCCATAGAGATGAACTCACCTGGTTCGCTAGGAATTGGCAATGGTCTCAAGAGACCGAGTGGGTTCTCGTGTGACGGTTTGTTCCTCTGACACACCAAACATATACATACATAGGTTAGTACATCTTCTTCATACCCTTCCATTCAAATTTCAAAGCGTTCTCTCACTTCGGCATACGTTTTCTTGAATCCAAAGTGCCCCTCAAAATCATGACATTCTCCAATCAACAGACTTTTAATCTCTTCTTTATGAGGGATACACAGTCTTTGTTCAGTTTGGTCCATTAAGAAAAGTAAACCATCCGTGATCTTATAATTAGGAAGTAGAGATGATTTTTTCAATACAGTGTCAAGGATTGGCTTCCATATAGGATCTGATGCATACCCTTGACGAATCTTTTCTTTTACTTCCTGCCCTACATCCAAATAAGAGATAATTGCTCCAAAGAAGTCACTTCTCCTAGACAATGCATCTACCACCACATTAGACTTTCCTTTGATCGTTTTCAGCTCAAAGTCAAAGGTATCAATAAAGGCAGACCATCGTACTAGTTTGTCAGAGAGTCTGGGTTGTGTTTTGATTCACTTCAGGGTAGAGTGGTCAGAATACACCGTGAAGTGTCTCCCTAACAAATAGTGCTTCCAAGTTTGCAATGCATAGACTAAGGCATACAGTTCCCTCTCATAGGTAGAATTGACAACCTTTTCAGTAGGTAGGCATGCGGACATAAACTCAACAGGTATGTAGCCCTTTCCATCATCCTGTTGAAGGACAACGCCAATACCATACTGACTTGCGTCAGTTGTGACAATGAAGGGAAGAGATGGGTCAACGATTTTCAACACAGGGTAGTGAGTCAAGACATGCTTTAGTTTCCTAAAGGAAGACTCACAATCCTTATCCCATAACCACATAGTTCCTTTCTTCARYAGTTTTCTCATYGGTGCAGCAATCAGTGARAAGTTTCTTACAAACTTCCTATAGTAGCTTGCTAAACCAAGGAAGAAAAGAAGATCAGTAAGGGACTTAGGTTGTGGTCAATCTCTAATCGCTGCAATCTTCTTTGCCTCTGGCCTCAACCCATCTTCATTTACTATGTGTCCTAAGTACAAAACTTCGGACTTAGCAAATTCAGATTTCTTGGGATTTAATTTAAAATTGCCATCGCGTAATTTCCCAAGTACTAGACGTAAGTATTTTTCGTGATCTTCTAGTGTTTTACTATACACTAGAATATCATTAAGGTATACAATGATGAACTGGTCCAACCACTGTCGAAACAACTCATTCATAGCTCTTTGGAATGTCGCTGGAGCATTCGTCAGTCCGAAGGACATAACCACAAATTCATAGTGATCATACCTGGTTCAGAAGGCCGTCTTGTGTTGATCCGCAGGTTCCACCTCAATTTGGTGATACCCAGACTTCAGATCAATCTTACTGAAGTATTTACATCCCTGCAACTGATCCAACAGATCATCAATACGTGGTAGGGGTTCGACATTTTTAACAGTGACAGAATTTAGCCCTCTATAGTCGATACACAAATGCAACTTACCTTCCTTTTTAGGCACAAACAGAACACGAGCGCTGTAAGGAGAGGAGCTAGGGCGAATCCATCCTTTTTCAGTCAAATCCTGGAGTTGTCTTCTCAATTCCTCAAGTTCCCTAGGAGACATTCTATAAATAGGGCCCTTGGAAGTCTTACTACCAGAAATGATTTCAATAGTGTGCTTAATAGCACGCTCAGTTATCCCTGTGGGTTCTAAGGATAGGTCTTTATACTTATCGAGGAGTTTCTGAATCGAGGGGGGATAGGAAATAGAGGACTCACCAACCTGTTTCACGAGTACTATCATAACTTCCTGTTCCAACTTTTTCTTTGCCACCATCGATCGAAAAGCCGGATAACTCACACAACAAAAAGACAGGCTAGGATCAGAGCCAGACTTGTGAAACAACTTGATGGCCTTTTGTTCAGATTGTGCGTCTCACAGTTGCACAACCTTTTCTCTGAACTTAATGTCTGGGTTGGCTTCCTCGTGCCAATCCATACCCAGAATCAAGTCAAAGGGGAGGTTTTTCTCAACAAGAAAAGATACCTCGTGTAGTATTTTCTTACCTTCCCTTATGCGAAACCAATATTTGACACAATCAACGTATTGCGAGACACAGTAATCGTGCTCTTGTCCGCTAGAATAGACGTGATAGGTCGAGACAGTGTTTTCACTTTCATTCCTAGATGTAGTTTACGAATCGCCTTCTTGAAAATGTAGGATCGCGTAGATCCTGAGTCTAGTAGTGCACCTACACGTGTGTGTGCAATCTCTACGTCCGCGAGTAGTAGGTCACCCTTAGACTTCGCTTTCTTAGCCCATGAGCTTCGTAATGCTAGCAACTCGTTACCAAGTTCATCAAGAGAGTCGTCCAGAGAGACAAAATATAAGACAGTTTCAGGGTGTTCTAGACGATGGGCCGAAGAAGAACCATCCTCTGTCGTAGGAGTCGAAGGGTTGGAAGGGTTAGTCGGCGCCTCATCTTCAATCTGGTCCAAACCCTTAGACTCCGTAGGAGCAGATGTTACTCCTACTGGCTGCTCCCTTTTAGGTTCCTATTTCGAATGAGTGGGCACCACGCAATTACGTGCCCAGCAACGCCACACTTTAGACATTGTGCATTGTTCATTCTTTCTTGCCAAGTGTCCCTATCATTCCCATTTTCTCCCAGGGCTTCCCTGCCGCAATGCCGGGATGCTCGCGAAAGGAGCGTGGTCTCTTCTTCTTACCTGGCGGTCGTGGTCCTCCCTTGTTGACCACGGCAGCAGTGACTTCCCCCTTCCCGGAATCACTGCTGTTTCCCACACCCTCGGCCTCCAATGGCCACTTCTCTACCGTGTCGTCGTCGAAAACGACGAGGGTATGGTCTGGCGTTTCTGACGCCAGATCACTCGCTTTCCATAACCTGCACCACCACCACTACCATGCTTCACCACAGATGCATAAGTGTTATTGAACTGAGATGTCGTTTGCTCTCTCTGGAGAGCCAAATCTCGAAATTGCCTATAATTGTACTTACCTGATTTAGACTCTGCCACAAGTTGTCCTCGAATAGGCTCACCCAGAGCACGGGAGTAAATATACAGGATTTGGTTATCTTGCAGGTTCAATCCTGAAACCTGCAGCAACCGGTCAACCTCCCTTGACAAAGACTCTACTGAGGTCCAGTGCTTTTGCCCAATGGAGGTAAGCTGGTCAAAGGCCTTATCGGTCGTAGTCTTGTCCAAGAAACGTTCCTTGATTTTGGCAAGGAACTGTTTCAAGGTCAACATTCCAACCCATTCACCTACATCTTCAAATCCGGCGGCATTAGCTTCCGCCAGAACCCATTCTTTCGCTTCTCCTCCCAAACAAGACGTTGAGAAAACAACTTGGAATGGTTCCTCGACAGGGGCTGTTCCAACGTACGTCTGGATCTCGACTATCCACAAAAGTAAGTTTTCGTCCTTCTTAGTACAGAAAGTAAAAGACAATTTCATTTTGATCTTCTCTCTTCTTTTCGGTTTCTCAGGTTGTGAGGTGGGGTCCTTCTTGTCTTTGGGAGGGTTCGACGATCCCCCTCGTGGAGTCGATGGCGGACTTGAATGCGGACTCTAAGGTCCGAGTCCTCCATTCTTTTCTACGGGCTTCTGAGTCTCTCCCCCGAGTGCTTTGATAACATCTCCCATTAACTTTCCTGGTTTTTTCTCTTTCTCAGTTCCGTCTTCCTCGGTTAACTTGTTCTTCCCCTTTACTAGATTCGTGATTGCTTGTAAACCAACGGTCAACTCGTTCATACGGACGTCGTACTGGTCAATTTTCATTTCCAGGTGTGCAAGGTAAGTCACTAACTGAGAAATAGAGACAGACTGTTCCTCCCCTTCGGTGACAACAACATGTTGTCTGATTTCCTGAACTTTTCTTTCTTGCTGTGTGTTTCTTTCTTTCTCTCTTTGTATGTCTTCCTCTCTTTTTCTCTCATTCATCAATGTTTCTTCAAGCTATCGGATGTTTTCATCCACGGCTTCTTCAGTTGTCACATGTTCTTTCTCTTCACTCCGATTGGTGATCTTGGACAGTTCGTCAATGATATGCTTGTCAAGTGCCTGTCGATACTTGACAAGTATCTCTTGAACTTTAATGATATTAGTGCCAGTCACAACAGACTCAATGGCCTCTTGTAGAGCTTCCAGGTCGTACTGTGCTCGTATATAGGCTTCAGCCTCGGCACCGGCTTCTTTAAGTTCAGTAATCAGGATGACCAATCGGCCAAGCAGTTCTTTCTTCCATTTTTACACTTGTCCACGAGTCTTTGTTTCGATTTCTTCATCCACACCAAATATCAAGGCAATCGGAAAGAAGAGCAGTGGAATAAATCTCGTGAGCACTGATAATTTCAACGAATTCCAAAAGAGAGGCATCGTGATGTACGACTGCCGCACAATAAATAATTAGACAACAATAATTAATTCCACGGTCGCACATGATTTGTCACAGCAAGATTTCAATAACCAAGGAGAATAAAACAACACAATCTACTTCTATTTCCTATGTCTAATTTTGCTGCTCTGTTGTTCTATGTGATGACGTCCTAAGTGAACAGGTACGAAGTCAGGCCCGTGTGGTCAGATACAACACAAGTGAGTATGCACAGTACAAGACAACAATCAACACAAGGTAAGTAAGCCAACATCCAACGAACAATATGTTAGCCCCCTTCTTTCCCTGCGTCGGTCCCTGCCCAATGCAATCAACACCCATTCGACATCTGGTACTACAGTTGTTCAATCAGTTGTACCGTCATCGTCGTCAGAATGTACTTCATCACTTAGGCACATGCGTGCCTGCCACGTGTCACCCCTAATCAATCAACTATATGGGTGCCACGTTAGCAACTCTGATCAGTCTTCTGCCACAGCCTTGGTTCGTCGAAGCAGCCAAGCAGGAGGGCACTCATCGCAAATGCGGCGGCCCTCTACTGCCACGTCAGCAGTCAATCTGTCCCTGCCTCGTAATGCAGCTCGTGATACCGATTTCCAGCCAGTTACGGTAGTGCCACGTAAGCCTATAATGTCAGCACCTGGAGGGATCTGCTCGCTTGTCAGTATCGCAGCGGTATGCCACGTCAGCAGCAGATCCTTGGGACCTGACACATCATGTGCCACGTCAGCAATGTCGTGAGTCGGCGTCACGATCCTGACTGTTTATCTCGTGATTAGTCACGGTATCCAGACTGCCACGTCAGATCTCAGGTCCTGCCAACTTGGATTGTCTTCGTCTTCTTCTTCAGCACGCGCGATCTTCAACCAAGGATGCGTGGTCGGCTGTCTAGATCGTGTTAATAAACGCGTGCGACAACACGGTCTCACCGAGCCACGTCACCCCCAACTTACCTTGCGCCAGCTGGTGCGCGCGTGTGCGGTCTTCGTCATCAATTTCGTTATCCTCGTCGTCGTACTTCGATCAGGAGTACAGCTCCGATACCAAATTGTAATGAACCCAAGTCGTGATGATACTTGTTGATAATGCAAGTCCACAAATCGCCAATCAGCTGATGAGATATCAATAGTGAAATCGTTGCCAAATACAAAGAGATGGATAACATACACAAACGAATAAGCAAGAGGTTGGGAAGATAGACTTAGAGGGTGGAGAAGAATACTGTGCCCACTCCTACTTCGGGCTTCCCTCTCAATGTCGCCACCTCAGCAACAATAAATGGAACGATATCTGAAGTTCTCCTCAAAGTGTCACGTGCACATCAATAGTCCATCATCAGCGCTGGAGCATCATCAACATCAAGATAACAGGTACGTATCTCTGATCCTTCCACAGTCGTGATCCCCTCCTGAGTACGATGAATCAAAACAGCTGCATCTCTCCAATGTAGTCGCCACATCAGCATAAAATACACGTGGCAGCGGCCACGTCAGCAGCAACGCGTGGCAGCAGCCACGTCAGCAGCAACGCGTGGCAGTGGCCACGTCAGCAGCAACGCGTGGCAGCTGCCACGTCAGCATACCAAGTAGACAAGAGCAAGCCAGCCAGCATGTCTGGCAAACAGCACGCCGCCGTAACTCACAAGTACCAGCCAGAAACCACCGTACAGCCAGCGTCTCAACATAGAGCCAGCGTCGTCGTCAAAGTAGAAAGTTAGCATTGACGCGACTGAATGAATGTCAAATGTCGGGGAGTCGGTCCTTATGTACTGTTGACTCGGGGGCTGAGCCCCAGATGCTGCCTCCCTTGATCGTCCAAATTTCAATACAGACGAGGGCTCAGATTATACCGAAACCGAATCTTCTTTGGCCTCGATGATGTCTAGGTACCTGCGCATCACAAGTGAGTATATCTGGACAAGGGTCTGTGCATGGTACCTTTGACTCTACAGTGGACTTTGACCTTTGAATTTCCATCTGCAGCGTTCGGTCTCACAGCGGGACGCAGTAGTCTGGGCCTGGGCAGTGTCTGGTCACACAGCCCACACAGAACAGTAAGTTTTACGTGGCTTGGGGCGGGTCTGGGCCCGGCAAAGACTTTCATGCACACGAATTACTGCATAAGGGACACTGAACCCGGTTTCCAATGGCCTAAGCTGAGTTTTGGTCTCAGCAGTTGTGTACCGGGTTGATATGTAGGGGTGTGTTCCCGGGCCCCGGTGATCCCGTTGGAATGAAAAGTGTCAAAAAAAAAAAAAAAAAAAAAACAACGTGCTCGCCCACTCAATAATTTAATTCTCGTTTTATTTTTTCTAATTTTCATTATTATTATTTATTTTTAGTATTTGATTTTTATTTCAAATTAGGTAAAGAATTTGGATATAACGTTGAGGCAAATGTTGTTTAGTTTATTCTTATGCATAGCATATATTTGTTTCAGATTTTTTGGAATTATTTTTGTTTGTTTTTTTTTGTTTTTTTTTTGGATCCACGTTCGCCCGAACGCTTTGAGAGGGGGTGCCGAACATTCGGGCGTTCGGGTTCGGACGTTCGGCCCGTCCTGAACGCCGACAACCCTATATATATAATATATTATATATTTGTATATAATATATATATATATATATCCTTTCAATATATATATACTACAGACTGTTGAGGGTTCAGCCTCCTGATGAGTCGGTGAAACTCCGACGAAACAGTTTGTCACAGCCCCTCGTTTGTTGTCC